GGGCAGTTCCTCAGGTGTCCAAGGCCGGCCACTGGCGCAGCCCGACCGCGGACGAAGATAAAGCGCCCGACTCCCGGCCCCTCCGCCCCCAGCCTCGCGGCCCGCTACGCAGCGTCACGCGCACGGCCCGCGCCGACTCAGGATTTCATTGGTGGGCCAGGCGCCCCAGGCTCCGCCCACCGCCCACGGCCGCCCCGCTCCTCTCCTCCTCACCACGCGCGCGGGTGAGCGGTGCGAGAGCCCTTGGGCGGCCCCGGGGCGGCGCGGGACCGCTTGGCTCCCGCAGGTCGTGACTCCGGCTGCGGCGGCTGGCTTTCCGTTTCTGACCCAGCGATGCCACGTGCGGTAGATGCGGAGCCGGGACAACCCCCTGCGAGAACGAAAAGGCACCCCGCAGGGCGGCACGGCGCGGGCGGGACCCGCGCCTCTTCTCGAGACTCGCGGGAGCCGCCTCTAAAGCTGAGCTTCGTTGCAGTTGGAACCGACGACCCTCCAGGAACAAAGTAGAAGCGCTGGTGAGAAGCGTCCCTCGCCGGGCGCTGCTTTGTCAACTCTACGCGACTGTGCGTGTCCTTCAGCGCGTGCGAACTGCGTGAGGAGGCGGCGAGACGCGTGAAATAATGGGGCACTTAAGTAATTTAAAAAGGGGACTTCACAAAGAAAAAATGATGCAGAGATATTCAGGACATGGATTAGCTAGAACAGTTCATTGCTTAGGTTTTACGAAGGCAAAGGTGTAGGTGAATTTGGAGTAAAGGTAGGTGAAAAGGGAACGAGGGCACCAGGGGCCCAAGGGCCACAGGCACGGGCTGCAAACGGCGCGAGCTAGCGTCGCCCGCCTAAATCACTCGGCCCTGTGCCAGGCAGGTGGAGGTGGCCGCCCATGACCCGGCCAGGCTGCCCTCAACAGATGGATCACGTTTATCTGAACTCACCCCTCTCTGTGGCCCTTTAATAAAAAATAAATAAACAAACAAATAAATAAATAAGAGGATGGACAAGTAAGTACCTGGCTACCTAGAGCAGGCAGCACTGTGCACCCCAAGGCAGAAGCCCAATCAGCATTCAGTCCAATTCAGTATTGGCAGTCATTGGCAACCTACCCGGTTTGCCTCTTGTGCAACTGTGACAGCTGCTTTTGCCAACTGGATGACAAAAGGATCTGGTAGATCCCAATGGCTTTTGTGCTTTGCCTCTTCCCTTCCATTAAGACTTGTTTTTTTCCTTTGTCTCAGTTATTCATTCAAAAAATTTGATTGTGTTTTGCTGTTGGTGCTAGGGGTACAGCAGTGAATAAAACAGAAGAAGCCCCTGCCCTTAGAAGCTTGTTTCTAGTGGAGAAAATAATGAAACAAGTAAATGAGATAATTGCAGGTGGTAATAAGTGTTAAGAAGAAAGCAAAACAGTGTGGTCAGGGAAGGACTTTTTTTATTGATTTCAGAGAGAGGAAGGGAGAGAGAGATAGAAACATCAATGATGAGCCCAACCTGGCAAGGCTCAGAGGTTGAGCATCAACCTGTGATCCAGGAGATGGTGATTTGATTCCTGATCAGGGAAGATGGCCAGGTTGTGGGCTCGATTCCTAGTGGGGGGCATGCAGGAGGCAGCTGATCAATAACTCTCTTATCATTGATGTTTCTATCTCCCTCTCCCTTCCTCTCTCTGAAATCAATAAAGATATTTTTTAAAAAAGAAACATCAATAATGAGAGTCATTGATAGGCTGCCTCCTGCACGCCCCCAACTGGGGAATCTAGCTGCAACCCCCGAATGTGCCCTGACCAGGAATTGAAGGATAACCTCCTTGTTGATAGGTTGACACTCAATCATTGAGCCATGCCAGCTGGCCAGTGAAGGACTTTTTGAGGAAGTGATCTGAACTAAGACTTAAATGAAGAGAGGGAGCCGACTATGCCAACTATGGGAAGAAGAACATTCTAGACAGAGGAGAATAGATGTGAATGTAAAATGCTGATGCTGAACAAGTTTGAATTGTTTGAGGAACAGAAGGCCAGGAGGCTTGAAGCACTATGTGGAGGGTAGGAGACTGAGGTTAGGCAGCTAGGCAAGAGCTTCATCATGTTGGATTTTTTTGGTTGAGTTTTGTCTTGTTTTGTTTTTTAAATCAGCCTATTTTGTAGAGAATGACTTGGAGGAGAACAGAAATGGAATAGGGAGGAGGCCAGAGAATGATAGGAAGCTATTGGACAAGTTCAAGGGATAGATGATGGTGGCCTGGATTAGTGTGGTTGCTATGTAAAAAGAAGTTGAAGAATTTCAGTATAGTTCCTGATGTGCAGGTGTGAAGTAAGGTAGTAAACAAGGTGACTTCCAGGGTATTTTCTTAAGTGAATAGGATGATGGAAATGCCATTTTCCTCAAGGGGGAAGACGACTTAATATGATTGGAGGGGCCATGAAAGCCTCTGCCCTTCCTGAGCCTCTCTGGCCACCGGCCTGAAAATCCTTGGGATCAAGGCTTGGTTAAAGGTGAATGTTGCTTCATCATATTCTAGAAACACACACGCATGTATAGAACTTGTAATAGTTGCTAGGAATATAAACATATGAGTAAGAACAACTGTCCATTGGGAGATAGATAATAACTAAGCTATTTCAAGACAATTAGATGTGTTGTAATAAAAAGAGGTAATGAAATTGCCTACATAACAGGATCCTTGTAAGGGTTAAATAATGCAAAGCTCCAAGTACAGACACTGGTATATAGAAGTGCTCAGTAAATATTGACTTACTTTATGCTTTTCTATATTGAAGTTCATCATTATTGTTGATGTTTTTATCTTCTGGATACAGTGGGAGCAGAAGGAACTATTATCACAGCCTGCTACTCTAGGAGAGGAAATGTTGAAATGGAGGAAGACTGACTCCAGCTTTCTGAACCAGTAGAAGGGGTCTTCGGTGGACAGGCAAGGGAGGAAGGACATTCCAAGCAAAGGAAGAACACAGTCAAAAGCCAACAAGACAAGAGGGAGCCAGACCATGTAGGAGATAGGAAGGTAGCTGAGTATTGTTGAAGTAAGTGGAAAACCATAAAGTTGGTGTAGGGGCTTAAGATGTTTGTAGTTCATGCTGAGATATCCTGACTCAGACTTCCGTAGACAGTGGGGAGCCAGTGAAGGTTGTTAAGCAGAGAAGAGTCGTGATTTAGGCAGTTGGGCTGGAGAGAGATGCGACTGGAGGTGGAGAGATCAATTAGAAGGGCATTGCAGTAATATAGGTGAGAAAGGACAAAGGCCTAAAGTAGGGCAGTAGCAAGTGGATGGAAAGAAGGGGGCTTATTTGGGAGAGATTTAAAGAGACAATTGATAAAATTAGACAGTGTTTGGATGTGGGGGTTAAGGATATATCCAGGACTTCTGGCTTAGCAGCCTGGGTGGATGGAATTAATGGCAACTGAGGTAAGAAAATGCATTTGAAGTAAGAAAACAAGGTAAGGAGTAAGAATAAGTTTTACTTGGGTTAATATTTAAACCGAACTGGTCCACTTCCGAATGGGACCTAAAGGAACTGAATAAGAAGCAATCAGGTTTTGTTTTGGTTTTATAATAGCTTTCAAATTTTTTTCTGATGATGTCAATAATGCATACTTATCGCGGAAAATAAAGTTAAATACAGAAAATTACAAAGATAAAAGCTATCTAATGTCCTTCCACCCAGAGATGCAGCTAAATGTTAATGTGGGGAAGGAAAGGAGCAATGGCCTGAGCCTGAGGACTGAGCCCTTCTGCTCAGTAGAAGATGCTGGGTTCTACCAGGAGCCAGAAAGGAAACCTGAACAAGAACCAAACCAGGTTTTAAAACATAAACATCTCAGTTCTTCAAAGAGTCACATCTCTGTTAATAATACCAAACAAGCAATAAGTCTTCCTTCCATCCCAAGTATGGCACAATGAACAATTCACAGAGGTAGGTGAGAGGTTCACTGACTCAGAGTCAGGCTGGCCAATGCATGGTAATGAGACTTACCTCTTCTTGGTGTGTCGCTTTAGGAGAGGTAGGAAGATATTGAACTTCAAACTCAGGGATAAGAACCACTCTCTAGAACTATATAAGATCCTCTATGCAATATTCTAACAGCCCACCTTTTATTTCAACTGGATTCTAACTCACTAGAAATTAGCAGTAAAAATTCAAGTAATAATTGTGACCGTTTTAACAATATAATGAATAGTCATTCATTAGGAATTTGACTAAGATTCCTTAATAGGTTGTTGGGGCTGAATAAATTTTAAATAACAGGAATAATATTAAGCAACTATTAATCTTACCAAACAGCTATCAACTAGAAGCAGTCACCCTCACTGAGTTCATAGTGATGCAGAGTCAGTATGAAACAATGCAGAACTTAAAATTTCAGGTCAGAAGATCAACTTGCATAAACCTTAGAGGGTTGTCTCCCGTCTTTGGGAACACAGAATGTAGCTCAAAATGTGCTGGTTCTGGGCAAGAACAAGTAGGCTAGTCATCTCCTCCACATTACAGAGTGAATTTTGTGACTTGAAAGCTTTGTATTAGAGATAATGGCAGGAGAAAATCATGGAAGTCAGAAGACACAGATTGTGTTCAGGAAATACTGAGTAATCAAGTTGCCCAGGAGACCTAGCACTTCTCAAACTTTTCTGCCAAAATATCTCCTTACAGAGAAAAAAATCAACTTTAATGCCCCACTTGCCAAGAAATTAAGACATTTGTCCTATATTCACAACCATTGCCTTTGAAGCCTCATGTTTTATCTTTAGAATGAATGCAAATTTTGCATATCAGTCTATATCAAGAGTATCATATAAAAATAATGTTTTAGCCCTAGCTGATGTGGTTCAGTTGGGGCATCATTCTGTACTCCAAAAGGTGGCAGGTTCGATTCCTGATCCATGTTTCTCTCACATCGATGCTTTTCTCTCTCTCTCTTCCCTTCCCTCC